AGATCATTGAAGTAATATTACTAGCGTATACATTATATCGCAATGTTTCAAATTACTCGTATCATTTTTCAGCGCGTACCTTTCTTCCACAACTTAGGTACGCGTGCGTGTCTTGTTGTACAAAATACTTTTGTGAGAAGCGCGCTATGCTGTCTTATAGGTACGAAAAGAGTTCTAATGTAACTTTAAGGTGGTAAAATTGGAATTGATGGTAACAAAACGAATGAAAATATTTTTACTTCTTTCTGACTTTATTTCCACCCGATCATAATTGAAAACTCTTACTAAAGTTTGCGACAACTTGGCATAGAATAGTAACACTTTTAATATTTACTTTTTAGAAATTATTTAAAATTGAAAAAAGTTATTTATACTGTATTAACTCAACTCAAACAAACTACTAGCAACAGTATTCGTTTACTTAATAATATAGGTACGAGTTAAGCTTGGACAGTACAACGTTGGCTTTAATTCAATCTTGTACCTAGTTTGGTGCTCGATTTGTGGAATAGCATCGTGTGTTGACGCATATCCCCGATTCCACGAATGGCCGACAGTCGACACCAGGAATGCAAATTTCAATTTTCGCATACAGGTGTAAAAACAAGGTGGCAAAAGCTGACGCAGTAAACCCCGATCACTATCCCGAATAGCTTTTCATTCTGCTTTTTTTCCGGAATCGAGAGCCGGGCGTTGTTTTTTTTTTTTCAAGTAAAACATTTTCCGATTACGGAGTGCCGAGTCAAAGGAATTAAAATAGCTAAAAGTCCAATCAATTACACGTTTTGATGATCTGTTAATCGAAAAAAGAAAGAAAGCGGGAAAATTGGTTTCTGAACTGAGAGCCGTTCTGGATTGATTGTGTAAGTTTTTCAACCTGTCCCTAACACTCGACCTCACTTGAGTAAGAAAACATTTTATTTGCATTCGAGTGTTAGTTCAGCTCTAATGAGTTCATTTCCAATTCCCTAGATACAGATAGGACATTATCAGAAGTTGACGCCTTCAGGAAATTATTCCTCTGATTACATGTCATTCCGCTGGCACAATAATGTTTGATACTTACTAGATGGCTCCCGCTTGCGTAGTATAATTGCTTCGGCTGTTTTATTTCTTTCATGAAAATCTGTATAATGCGAACGTTTGAAAATACAGAGTAATACAAAACTAGAAATAACAATTAAACCCACCACAATTTTAGTAATATTGCACCGCCCATTTCACCACGATGTATTTTTTTTCCAAAACCACATCCAAAATAATGGTTAACAAGTTAACAACATTATCATCTCCTACTTACTCACAAACATGGTAGTTGATGGTAGTAGATTTAACTTCAAACAGTGTCACTTTCGCCTCAAAATTGGCATACGATCTGGGAAATCATAACATGCCCCAGCAACCGGTGTAGCACGGAATACATTCCAGCGCAATCCCGACTGCCAGTCACAAATGTACATCAAGGCTAGGCGGATATTGCGCTTTGATCGAGAGCAGATTCGACTCGAGCTTTAAATTGACCTTTCACCGCTCACTTCTCACAATCTTTAGCCCTTCAAATGCACACGGTTCAAATCACGAAAAGTAACGTCATTTGAAAACAGCAATATCATGTCGTATTTCCTAGAAAACTAAGGAACTAACCTCACTTAGCAACCGACAGTAAAAAAAGTTTATTTGCTTTGTATACCCCTCTAGATATGATTGCATTTTGTCTTGTAAAATATCTCTCGACCCAAATGCTCTGTTGTTCCGAATGCCATTTTGTTTCAACAGTTTCTTGTTGCCTGCATTTCTGGCTTCTTGTTAGGCATTACAATGCCCAAGCAATCAGCGTCGAATGCTCTCCAAAAGTGCTTTAATTCATCCGTTAGTGGAAAGGTGCCTAACTCAGTGAAATATCAAGTAGGCACTATCTGAAATATCTGTCGTTAAAATACAGATCGTTTTATAAAGTAGGTCTTGGGATTAGGATTCTTGAAATACATTGTATGCCTTAGTTGGATTTAAGATTAATCTCAGGCTTAATTTATGATGAATGTGAAAGTGATTTCGGTTTTATTTTGCCATATAATATTCACGACGGATTTATTTTCTGACGGCTCCAATGGAATAAATTGCTGTTTCACTTCCCGACCTTTGGGTTTGAGAGATGCTTTCACGGTACATCATTGTTACCTTTCAATTTAGCATCCTCTTCATTTTCGTAGCGTTTTAACATTGTCGCAGCGTCTATTTTTAATTCTATTAAGTTTATCATCTTCAACTTTCCAACTTGTTTAATCTGTAGGTAGCTACCTATTAGCTTAGTAGTTATAAATAAGGACCGGTTGCAAGAATGATAAAATTGTGGCAATCATACAGGAAAAAGCGTAAAAAAATGTCCGCCGTAGACAGTTAGATGACCGTGGGCGGACAATTCTTCGCCCTCAATTTGCGATTCACCGACCCCTAAAATTGTTACGATACATAACAAATGTTATTGACAGCCATCAAGGAATAGATGGACCATTCTAAAACATACTTTTACTTACCTTACAGGTTTGCGTTTAACTTTTATTTACCTTAGGTACTAGCTTTTGCCCACGGCTTTTCCCGCATGAAATTTAGCTTATCACAAATCGTTATAAATTATAGCTTAAATGTTATTCTGATGTATAAACAATAATTCTGAAATATTCTCAAAATCCATTCAGTAGGTTCTTAGAAGATGTAACTTGGAGTATTTTCAACTATAGCAGGTTACCTCTTTAACTCTAAAACTATCAACTTACTTAGTAACTATTAAATGGATCGCGCGATTCCTGGTCCTGGCTCAGCACTGGCACGTAAACTAAGTAAGTATTTTAACATAGCACCGTGGCTGATATTCTTTTTAAACACAGAATCTACCTAATTGAACAATTGGACCCTGCCCCACTTACCCAAATTTAGCTTTATTTTAATTAAATAAAATTAAACTGTTTTAACTTTCTCTTAGCTAAGAGAAAATCTTTTTTAAACAAAGGAGTCAGCGTCAATATGGATAAAAAATGTCCGCGTAGAAAAACTGTTTAAAAAGCAATAAGACCTTGATTCTGCGTCAATGGCATCAAATGGCATCAAAAAATTAGTAATATATTTTATATTCATACACACTAATGAAATGAAACTTTCCCACCCTCGCCGGCGAATTTGGAACGTTGGTCGATAGTGACCCTTATCAAAGCTGTGCCTAAGCAGGGAATGTATAATACAATAATACCGTATAGAGACGACACTTCGCCCCCACCGAGTCGAGCTTCCTCACCCGTCACTGATTCAAGGGATCAACGAAGGTTCAGGGATAAGGGCGCACGAAAAATCATTCAAGCACAGAAATACGTATGTAAGAAAATCTATTAAATACTAGTACATAAAAAAAAGTATGGTTAGCTATACCACTTGCCTATCTATCCGTTGTCTAGTACTTATAGTACAAGCTTTGCTTAGTTTGGGACTTTGGGACTAGACCGATTTTAATTATCTTTGATTTATTGTTTTCTTTCCGCCGCGAATTGGATATCTATTAAAATAGCGTAAAAATAGAAAATAAAATGATAAGTTCGCAATTTCTCTGGCACAATTAACAATTTATTCAAGTCACGTCACGGCCTGTAAAGTACGTCTAACCTGCAAACACCTCTAACATTGCCACTTAACATTTATGTCCAGTCAAAGCCAATTTGGGTTTAAGCCTGTTGAAAGCTATACAGGCATAGGTAGACACAGTTGGGTAGTGCAAAACATGAAACGTGTAGTGTCTATGGCGCTTTGAATTTCAAACGCCATCGTCAAAGCTCTTATTGAAGTGGCACCAATTTCTGATACTGTGCAACACAACTCGAGCCGTCGGTAGTCGTTTCAGAATACATGCCTCTGTGCCTGTGTACCATGAAATTAGTAAGTTTCCGAGTCTGTCGTATGCGGCATATGAATAGTGAGGGCACTAACACAAAATTAGCTCCATGTATACCTACATATTTTTACAAGTCGTTGTTTTGGAGAAAAATACTTTATGTATCAATAAGCTTAATTCATCAACACATAATTNAGTATTTTGGTTTGACTATAGAGCGTGAGAACACGCACACAGTCACAATTATTTTAGTGTGAATAAAAATAGCATCGAAATTACCTAAACTTGACATGCCACGCTAGACGTAAACGCTCTTGTAGTCAGAGAAATTAGCAGTGATTATATAAAAAGAAGGCATCCATTGCGGCAATTAAATGTGATTTATTTATAAACCAAGTTTTATAAGTGAAAAGTTTTTAATGCACAAAACTTGTAGTGGGATTTAGTTCTACATTTTATTAGAAAAGTTGATCATAAGCTTATTTTGCAAAAGTTTGCTGCGCGCTAAGAGGATAAATGTAAAAATATTTTTCAACTTTAAAAGATATCGTCGTAGACGGAAGATAAAGTGGTTCTTATGCAGTTTGCTTTCGTATAAATTTCAATATCCTATGACGTCGAGACAGGCTCGCCTTTGATACGTGAGAGTTCAATTTAATAATACTATCTCAAGCTGCAATTTATTTATCATTCATACTTTAAATTCCTCTTTGAATAAATCGAGGATCGCTCCATAGATCGGCCGTCACCCGATTGTTTATAAGATGAAATCGAGGCTACACTTTAATAGAATTTACGGCACTTTCTTGACCCAGTTTAGTTTTATTAGACAAGAGTGTGTGGTGTGATCAACTTATGTGTCAAGAACGAATCTGATAACATTCTCCTTTAATTTATTTTTTTCCAACAATGACCCATTTCAACTAGCCCTAAAAAGACCCAATAAACATTCAGAAGTAAATACTTACAAAACATTATCATTAAATTGATTATGGGTATTTACAGCATATTTATTAAACTATCATTTGCCCACAATAGAAATTGAATCATTATTAGCCATTGCCATTGTCTAGAACCCGCAGGTTAAGCTAAATTTTAATCAAGTTTTGTTTGTCCAATGTAGCAAGAGACAACGTCACTGGCAGAGCGCATCAGGCTGCTGACTTGCGATGTGGAAGACGAGCCGGAGGAGCATCGGTCGTCGCCGGCTGGTTTGAGCAACACCGACAAGCTGTCGACAAGCAGCGACAAGTCGAGTGACAAGTCATTCAACAGCGTCGACAAGAACAGCGAGAAGGCTTTTGGGAGCGCGTCGTCGAGCTCGTCGTCCTCGACGCTCTCGGCGCCGGTGCCCAACCGACAGCAGCCCCCGGATCTAGGGGACATGCATCAAGAACTGCAAAAGGTACGTCACGCATTTTCAGTCCCCTTGAATAAAAGCAATTCTGCCTAGAGTGACAACGAAAAAATCATTGGTGGTAGTTAGGTTCTGTTTCAAAATAGTGCCGTTGACATGAAAATAATTCGAAGGTCATGGTTAAAAACTTACGAGCCAAAGACACGTATATGTGAAATAGTTTTTGGGTTATGAGGGGGTCAAAAGTGGCTACAAATGGTTCGTGTGCTTCGCTTCGTTCAAACTCTTTAGTAGTAGTAACATAATATTATCATCAAGTTTTAAAAGTGCTAGAAAAAGGTTCGAAGCTATGCCCAAAGGACTTTTACATGCCTCATGAGATCTGCTCTACTAGACCTGAAAATGAGGACAAGATTTAAATAATAATATTATTACAATTGAATATTATTATGTTCCTGTCTAACTCTGATGTTAACCTTCCCCTGAACACGAAGTCTCACGTGACATTCAATTGACCTCTAGCTCTACAACCTATCCCAAACGGGGCGAAAGGATATTTACTTACGCTACATATTTTGCAAATTATCAGAAAAAGATAAACAAGCAAGATAATTATTTAACACTGTTTTAAAACAATGACTCGAACTTTAAAATGAACGTCTGGGAATAGAAGTACAAATATGTAAGTTATGTCTTTGAAGTCTGCAATTAATAAACACGAAACAAATTAGATTTTAAATACTTACATTTAATTTTCTTACTAATAGAAATATTAGGCACTACGTTGTCTACCTATAAAAGCGTCTCAACATAACAGGCAGAAAGTTGTTCAGTTCTAGCTATAGATAAATCTAAAGCACTCACGTCTGAATAAGATGTTAGATAAATATAAAGAAAAGCAATCTTAATTATAGAAATATTTCTGCTAATAACAACAATAGATACGTCTTAAATAAGGCCTTATTCATAAAATCAAGACATTTAATTGTGTACCTATTGAACAAAACATTTTAAAATGCTTTTCACAGACTTAAAATTAAGACTTTTTAAGTGCTTCTCAGCAAAACCATAAGACAAGATCGCCTAAATTACGCCGTCTCTTTTGTGTATTTCATTCTTTTCTTTTCTTGTCTTGTGTGGTGTAGGTACATTAGTGTTATCTAAATAAAAAAGTGTAGGTCAATGTAACATTTGCCTAACAATTATCAAATAAATTGACGACGGCAGTCTCATAAATTGTCGACAAATAACAACAACTTATCGTTTAACAACGCCAAATCAGAATAACGGAGAAACTATAGAAATTTTGTAGAATTTAGGCTCATGGATGAAAACTGACTTTTCTTTATGCGGGGATAGACAGAATAAGATGCAAAAGGAAAACTATAAATTCGAGCAACACCTTTAAGTCAGACGCAAATTTTCCTCCGCACTAAAAGTACTAAGTACTAACACATTATTTAAAAGCATGAATGTTTTTTGGCTGAAACCTAAAAAGCCTTAAACAATGAAAAACAACGTTGATAAAATATGCGATCCTAAATTCAACGTTTGCTAATAAAATATAGGTCTATTGATATCAGGCAATCGATTCTGATTGCTCTTGTATATGGAGAAAATGTACGAGTAGGTACAATTCATATTTAATCGGTTATATTCGGGAAGGCTTTATGGGCGTTGAGCGTCAGCTATTTATTTATTATATTCTCTTCAGCTCGATGCCAATAATGTGAAATGAATGAAACGCGCGACGTTTATTATTTATTGTAATGGGACGTAGCGGTGCAGTCCTGTTGTCCCCCCTGCTTGGCCCCCCTGGGGGAGCCAACAGGATTTCGAAATCCTGTTGTCCCCCCTGGCTAGGGGAGACAACAGGACTAGATTTTCAATCAATGATTTGAGGACTGTTGTCCCCCCTGGTAAACATTGGGTATTTAGAAGCCATATATTTTTATAACATATAAGAAGGACTGGAGTACCTGACTGAATGCCATATTGCCAAACTAAATACCTAAACGTATGTCACATAATAATTAATATTTTGTTAACGACAAAAATATTAAGTTGTTGGTACCGGTAATATTTCTGACTATTCCAAAATCCGCTTACTTGTTTTTAACAGATTGTTATGAATGATCCCTACTAAATACAGTTAAACTTGGTTAAGTGGGACCTGGATAAGTGAGAAACCTCCATAACTGGAACTCATGCTGAGGTAACGCACTTTGGCACTGAATTACCTCTGTTAGTGGGACGAGGTAAGCCTCTATATCTGGGATTTGTTCTTTCGATTTATCATCATAGTTACCTCTATAACTGAGACAGCGAGTAAATTTTATATGCATAAACCTCTGTAACTGAGATTACATTGTTTGTTTACTCATTCTTATTCTACCCACAAATTCCACACGTAATTCCAAGTACGTAAGTACAAATTTTGAGCTTCAATTACCGTTTATTTGAAAAATGCCAAAACGAAAGCTACAATTGTTATCATTACGTGATAAACTGAAGTTAATATCCGTTTATGAAAGTGGGAAGACACGCGAAGAAGTTTGTGCCGAATTTAATGATCGCACCTGTATAACTGAAATAACCTGTATTCTCACCTCTATTAATGGAACACTCTGTAAATGAGACAGATATTTATTTATACCTGTATATCTGAGACACTGGGTAAGTGGAATACCTCTATAAGTGAAACGACATTGCAGGTCCCTCGATGTCTCACTTAACCAGGTTTCACTGTAATATTATACGAGTAAATGCGAAAGTAACTTTATCTGTCTGTCTGTTACGAATTCACGCCTAAACGATTGAACCGATTTTGTTTTTTGTTTTTTTAAATTATTTGGTAAAGAGATAGTTTTGAGTCCCGGGAAAGGACGTTAGACAGTTTTTATCCCGGTTTTTTAAACAGGAATGAGCTCTATATTTTTTTCTGTGAAACAAAATTTTACGCAAAGCTGTGGGCAAAAGCTACCTGTATATGTTATTCTCATGTATAAAAAATATTGTCTGATGTAAAGTTGACTAAAAATCCGTTTAGTAGTTTTTACGTGAAAGAGTGTCAAATATTCATACTATTCCATACTCACAAACTTTCGCATTTATAATATTAATAGGTAAGACGCTAAAACTTCATAATATTCAACAAATTACTTGCTCATTGATTCAACTAGCGGCCGCCCGCTACTTCGTACGCGTGGAGTCCATTTTACCCCCTTATGTGTGGAATTACGTAAAATACCTATTATTATATCCTTGGTATTATTTCCTATCCTTAAATAAATAGATAAATAAAATCTGTTCTTTGCAGATGTCTACACCCTATAAGGAACCTCTATTTCAAGTTTGTAGGTGTCAGTACCGGCACCAACACCCTATTTTTTTCGTTATCAAAAATGGTAATTATCATTTAACAAACGTTTAGGTATTCAGTTTGGCAATTTGGCATTCAGTCAAGTACCTACCTACTTCAGTATCTCACAAATTATGTTATACAAATATATGGCTTTTAAATAATGTTTGCCAGGGGGGACAACAGTCCTCAAATCATTGATTAAAAATCTAGTCCTGTTGTCTCCCCTAGCCGGGGGAAAGGGACAACCTTTTGTACCCTTTGCACCACCGGCCTGTACCACTGGTGGTGCAAAGGGTATTTTGAAATCCCTCTTGCACCACCAACAAATAGTGCTGTGCTACCATCGACTGTAAAACTAGTAGTAGACTGTAAAATACTTAATAATTTAATTGTTATAAATAAATCAAAACCTACCTAAAAGTTTTAATTTGTGTGTGTGTAAGTGCCTATAAACATTTCACTTCAGACCCACGATACCCCGGGCCTACATCCTACAGACAACGAATAAAGTACCAGGGCAACATAACCATAAAGGAGCTATTTTATGATAAATGTTTATTTCTCGGATCAACCAAGAAGAATTTGATATAGCTCCTTTATGTTGCCCTGGTACTTTAGGAATTATTCGTTGTATGTAGGTATGAATGGTTGTTATTAATTTTTATGTTATGTTGTCAAATCTGTCCAGTAGTTTCGGAGCCTATTCAGTACAAACAAACAATCAAATCTTTCCTCTTTATAATATTAATATTATATGATTATAGATAATCGTTTTACAGTTAATGGTAGGGCGGCACTATTGGTGGTGCAAAAGGGATTAAAAAATACCCTTTGCACCACCAGTGGTGCAGGCCGGTGGTGCAAAGGGTACAAAAGGGGGGGGGACAACAGGATTTCGAAATCCTGTTGGCTCCCCCAGGGGGGCCAAGCAGGGGGGACAACAGGACTGCACCGTAGTTACGAGTGTTACATTAACTGCTTTAATTAGTCTTCTTAATCATTATTCCTTTGAATCCACAAAATAACGATAGGGAAAAGTTCCATCCTCACATTAATAACTCTTTATCTATCGAGTAATCATATTGCGAGTACTTACCTACTTCGCCATCAGTACTCTCCATTACTATTATTCCTATCCTGCGACCGCGTTCCCTTCTATCTAGACTGGTGGATTTTATTACAGAAATTGCTCCAGAACAAGGAATAGTACTTAGTGCAGTAAAAAGGAGGAATTTTCAGGCGCTTAAATTCTTTTTCATGAATCTCATTGAATGGGTTCTGTGTCCAATTTGATGTTTGAAATGTACGAGTATTTCTGTTTTCCCGGTAATTTGTGTTTCATGCGGCACAGTGGCTGCCGATCCGATCAGTCAGTTCGCAGTAACAGCATCAATCCATTAGGCTTTAATGCACCTTCGACCAGCACCGAGCGGACTCTAAACACCGGGTGGCGTGTCTGTTCATTAGGAAATGGAAACTGTATTCGTACGGCAGAACTAAGCTTTGTGACGCCACATCGTGGAATCGGCTTATCTGTTTGTTCTCAAAAGAGAATAGAAATAAATATTTCTAACTGTGGTAATATTGTTTATTACTAATCGGAAGACCGTTAAATAACCGTAGTTCGTACGTTATAAGAGATACGACTATTATCTAGTAAGTAAGTATTGTTTTTTCACGAGAATATTCCTATCCAGTTAACACTGTGGAACCTTAAGTACTGACGTAGGTAGGCGGAATGACCTAGTTTTAAAGTTCAATTTCCAAAGAACGAACAAAATAATAAAACATGTTTATAAAAGCCTACTTATTTATTCCCATTTCTAGAATCGAAAAGAAATTGCGGATTTTGTTTTCACTGACATTCATGTAGGTGCTGAATGCGTTCAAACTACTATATAAAGGTTGCTTACGTGATTCAAATAAATGTCGATGTCAATACTCGCCCTATCCGAAGGTTGCATTTGAGTTATGTTTATACAGGTACAGGGCTAGCAGAACCGTTCGGCCATAAACCTGTTGCTTTTAGTTCCAGTGGAACACTGCGCAAGTCATGCGGCTGTATTTACAAATGCATAGAGCTGAATGAAGAAGGTCACGTGGCGAGCTGGTGCTTTAAGCATCTTACTTAAATAACTAATTGTTGTAAAACAGAAACTGATTTAATTTATATCAAACGTGGGACTATACGTAGTTCGATTATTATGACTCCGAACAGTATGTTGATAGCTGATCTAAACGGTATCTTATTTGACTGGTGATCCGGTCCCCTATTCAAGTCTGTTCATACTGATTCTTTTTATATTTAAATCAACTTTGAGTCAATCTTTTGCGATTGCGACTTACTGGCGACCACGAACCGAAAGACGTGGCGTGGGCAGACCTCCCACTAGGTAGACCGACGATCTGGTAAGGTCGCGGGAAGTGCCTGGATGCGAGCGGCGCAGGACCGGTCTTTATGGAAATCCTTGGGGGAGGCCTTTGTCCAGTAGTGGACGTCTTTCGGCTGAAACGAACGAACGAACTAACTTCTATTCTTTATCCATAGCCAAGGTCAGAACCCAGACGGCAGTTCCTATCGACCCTGGCACCTTTGACAGCGTGTGTGGGCAGCGCGGCGCACCACGAGGGCTTCTACTACGTGCCCCCTGGAGACAGGACCTCAGCTTCATCAGCCACTAACCTCGACCTCCACGAGCACAACGAAAACCCTGCCCCAGATGTCGTGGCAGGCACCCCTGGTACGGACTCTACCCGCCCAATTTATTTATTTTTTCAAAAGTATCGACGATTTCAAATGTCGACAATTTAGAGCTCCTTTCCAAATCCAGGTTTGCGGGATCTTGCAATACTGTAGTGTAAACTGTATATTGTGTGTTTGAACTAAAGGGGATCACAAAATAAGATCGAATCCTGCGAAAAACGGGAACGAGGAATACTGAACAAGCCCAACTTTCTATAACTTTTGAAAACATGCCAAAGTCAACTTAAATCGTAGGGTTTGACGTGTGTGTAGACTACATTAATTAGCATTTTACTCCGTTTTCCTATTAACTACGTTCATACGACTCTCTGGAATTTTATTAACATCGGCGCGCAGTTAATTGGTCAATCATGATTTCAGCGGCGCCTTTCTGCGGTTTGCTCCGTCCGTTGGAAAATAAAGGCTCTTTTTTCGAAGCTTAATTGATTATTATCACACGTTTATAAAGGCTTCCATTTAAATACTTTATGTTAATTAGTTTAACTACCTAAAAGTTCTTAATTAAGAAAATGTTTGTTTTTTGTAAAATATAATTTCGGAGCTATAAGGAAACGTGTCACGGTTCAATTATTTTATTACATCCTTAATGAGGTTGGGGTTGTTTCATCGAATTCCTGGTACAATTTCTTACCGTTTATCGTCAGAAAAATACTTTTAAGGTTATTATTATAACACGCGCAGTTAATAACGAAGGTTTTATAATATCAGATTGCATCACTCAATTAAAATCCATTAAGAAGAATAGCATGAAAATAATAAACACAAAACCTTACACGAAAATCACTGTGGTGAGAGTTTATCGGATTACACAGTACTCGTAAATAACATCAAATTGCCTGTAACACAATCTGACCAATCAATCAATTATTTTGCGTGTACGTGGAGAATTAAGATCGTTTTTTGTTTTCATAGAATATTTTGGATATAACTGTAGCCTACGTATTGGAAAATAAGGTCTATGTTAAAATATTAGGTGCTGGCGATGGTGATGATGGTTTAGCAGCGTTTGCCCGGGCGAACGCGCCGCGAACGGAACGACTACGGCAGCGGTACGGACAAGAGTCGCAGCCCGCAAGCAGTGACGACGAACATGATGACTACGGTGAGATGTGTAGAAAACCACCAAACGCCCATTGTCTATTACGTGTCTATGGAGACACGTAATAGGTATGTAACAATTTTATTGGCGGTCAAGATATACCTACAACCTAGATTCTGGCCACGTTGATATGGCAACGTTGAGAACGAGAGGTGGGAATAGTCACGTAACAATGAAACGTAGATAGCGAAAACAAAGACAATCTATGACGCCTTTGAATATAGGTACTGAAATGTGGATCTCAGGGCGTATCTCTCTTCTTTACACATGACTGATGTCCTTTTTGTAATAGACATGCTAGCTCAACATTCACACAAATTGACAAATCGCACTGACATAAATACGAGTTTATCATCCATATGTACGAACATATGGACATAGAATTTAGGCAGAACTGTTAAGATATTTCTAGAGATTCAGTTTTGATATGAGCGACGGTAATTTGATTTCTTCAGTCGCTAACAACACATTAGGAAGACCACGTTGTTATCTGCAAACGTTATTCCAGGTTTCCACCGCCGACCAGCTGTCCGGGGTATCGCCATCAAGCAACAGCTTGGAGCATCAGACGACATCCTGCAGCAGATGCAGAACGAGCTCCAGCCTTCACCGGGCACGACGCCCGCGCAGATGCCCGCGCATGCGTGCCAGCGTACTAACTCCAGCTACTCCTGGCCGTACTATTCGGAAGCCAACTTGAATTCACGGCCGCAGAGCAGGGCCAGTGCCACATCCAATTGGTAAGTTTAATGTTACAAAAGCTCCAATGCAACTATGTCATGCTCCATACAGATCTGCAACCATTTAGCAAATTAAGGACCCAAACTTCACCAAGAAGACTTGAGCTGATATTGATCTGGTACATAATTTCCTTCTTATCTGTGCAAGACCAATGTAAATGCCTTATCCGTTTCCATGGAACAATGCAGTGAAAAGAAGTCGATTCTTAATTTCTTCCTATTTTCTACTGATTAATTTTGTTGCGTGTCCAACGACAGTTTTTTAACTATCCTCCGGGACAAACTAGTTAAGCCCTCGCTGGTTAACGGACAAGCTGTAGATCCAGGCTACGCAGGACTTTTAGGAAATATCTTTTTTTAGAATGGTCGTCAAAAACCACATTGTTCCTAAAAAAGACATTTAATCTAGGTCCACGAAATCATCAGACTACGTGACAGCCCGCCAGTGTGCCACCCCCGTGCCGCAGCAGCTACACAGCGAGGGTTGCTACGCGCACTCGCAGAATGTGGCCACCTATGTGCACTACGCGCACACCCAACATCGGCACCAAGACCCAATGTATAGGAACTGCTCGCTTTACGCCAATATTGGGTAAGAAATAATGCTATTAAAAAAAACAAATGACGGTATTTAGAACGAATGTCTGCTGTTTTGGATCCAGAAACTAGTACCCTTTATAGAAGAACTGAGAATCGATTCCGTCTAAAATCGGATACTTCTGTCTGGATGGACAGCTAAAGCTTCGGGGATAAAGTTTGTAGCAGCTACGTTTTAAAAAGTTCTACATCCGTTCGCGAACCCAGCTGCGCACTCAGTGCCTAATGCACTCTATAAATAAACCGCCCGAAACTAATACGAGTACTTTTCAATGCGTTTGATTAGTTCGTCAATGTACAATTCGCTTAAACCCTGAGTCTCCATGAACGTGGCTTTACGTAAACCGAGCGAGTAACGAACAAGTGGTATTTCCGTATTTCCAACTCAAGTAACAAGTTATTACTAACATTACATAATTAGTTTGTCACTTTAATGGGAAGTGGGAACGTCGAATCGAAAGCGGGGCAGTTACGGAACTGGCTTTGGTATAAATATAAAAGTTTTGCATTAGTTATTAGTCGCATCGTCTGCACCGATTTGGAATTAGTCGAACCAATCAGCCCTGTCACTGCTTGAGAGTGTTATTGTGTATTAGCTCTATTTTGGTGTCCATTTTAAGTTTTAACTCATCTATTATGTATGAGCCACATACGAGTTACTCCTATATACGTCATGTAACACTGCTTTTGATTATGGATTTGGGTTAGATACCAAAACATCGTCAGTTATTTATGCTAGGCGATGATACACTTTGGTAATAGAATCGCTGAGACCTGCTACATAATAATTCTATTTTGGCTTTTACAAAAATGCAAGTTTGTGTAGAGGTTGAGAACACAAAAGTGGCGTTAGGTAGGATTCTATTTGGATACACTCGGACTCGTAGTACTAATTAGTTACTTTCAAGTACACATTAACCGGGACCAGCGGGTTTTTGTAACATATCCTTTATCCAAGCTCATTCTTTCGTTAATCGAATGATTGAAACGTCCCAAGTAAATTCGCACCTTAGACTTTGTTTAGCACATTCTTTATTTCCTTCCTTCTCGTTATATTTAGTATCTTGAGGTTGAGTAAATTCTCTTAAAAACCTTTTCAACGTGAAACATTCAGGTACCTACTCGTAATAACTTGTAGTAGGTACGTTTGCTTACACTTAACACCTATGCATTTAATTCGTAATTCTATTGAATTTCCATTGATTTTCATAAAGCTTTATCGAATTTCTGTAACAAGAAATTAAAAGACTTCGTACAAATTCTGCGACCTTACAGCCATCAACAGCATTTCAACCGACTTCAAATAATGAGGAGGTTTCCAATCCGTCGTTATCTTTATTGAAGCCGGTGTTTTATTTTAGCTGTTCTGACAGCAGTCAAGAGCTATACAGCTCGCAGACCAGCTCCGAGCAGACGTCGCCGGTACGCGCGGCGCCGCGGTGCCGGCGGCCGGAGTCGCCTCCCCCGATACGGAATCACCACCAGCTCCTCTACGTGCCGTACAGTCAACACTACCACTACCAGCACCACGATTATGGCGCGCACTGGACCGCCAATGACTGTAAGTGTCATTTGAATTACTTAATTGTTATTGCTATTAGTTTTCTACACACTTTTTTTTTATGCATAACAAGATTAACAAGGCAGGTATTTGACCACAATCGCACCTGATATATTTGTATTTATTAAGTTTGTTGCTACAAGAAATACAGGTTTAATAACTATGCTTAGGGTTTAAATATACATTTTTTTTTAAAAACATACATATTATTTTAGGAACGGAAACAACGGCAATGTCCCATTCAACTAAGGGAATACAGTAGGTACAGGTATATTAAGGCACAGGTTGACAAAACAGTGAAGGTGCAACACTCTGTATATCACTCAAGATGAGGAAGTGAAGGAAGCAGTCATTATTGAACAGCCCTTTTACGAATGATTATTGGATTTCCAAAAATAGCGTGGCTTTAGTGAAAGAATTCTCAGAATCTGGCGGGTAAAAGCACAGTTTACACACCTCCAACAAAAACAACACTCACGAACTTTTATTAGAAACTTCAACACCTTTACACAATTACAACACATACAGGTACTTATACTTAGGCAAATTCTGATCATAGTTCCTGGAGGCACGCAAACTAAGCTGAACTAAGCTCGTAGGTATCTGATAGATATACGTTGTTCAATACCTTACGGAACACCAACCACGATACCTGTTAGAATAGCAGGCTTGCTTTGCAGGCTCGCTATTCACGTGCGGTGGGGCCAAACTCGCAATTTGCGTGGGTATTGGAGCGGCAGTGTGCACTCGCCCTTNGACAGGAAGCTACGGAACCCTGCACTGCGCGAAGCACGACATTGGGTTACTGATTTTTTCATATAAATCTAATAGACTCGAAGCATAGACATTGCAAAATAGGCATTTTATTAAATATCACGTGAGATTAGGGGGTGGGGGAGGGGGTCAGGCAAAATCTCACCAAATCTCACCAAGGGGGGCGGGGGGGTTGAAAAATGGCCAAAATTGTCTCACGTAATTTATGGACGCCCCCTTAATCTGGGCACTGTAGAATATATGGTGTGTATAGTTTAATCAAATTACAAAGCGAAATGATTGTAGAGAGGATAGAGACCACACAATCTATACACGTTTCGGAGCTCTTGACACCGAGGTTGCCAATCACACTCGACAAGGAAGGTATACTCTTATCAGCGAGTAACGTGAGTTGGGTACGCAAGAGTCAAGTAGTAACGATAAAGGCTTTCCCGGAATATTCAGCAACTGTGATTAACTCTTGTTTGTTGGATCAATTTCTAAACGTTAAAACAAAACTTTCCAAACGTTATTTTATTCGTAACAGAAGAAGTTGATGAGAAAACTTTTAAAAGCAACTACAATATCGCTAGGAAAGTTTGTTCAGTAAATCTCTCTTTCTGTAACTTTTAACTATCAATGTTGGCTTAAGATATTCTACATAGATTTTCACAAGAAGTCAGATAGGCATATGAAGTCAATGAACAAACAATCCAAGGAACATTGGCCTTCTTGACAGTCAACAGTAACAACCGATCTAGTCCAAATTACCTAAAGAGCGTTATTTTTTTAACTTCGAGCCAACCATTCTGGACCCAGGTCCAAAAGCCAAGACTTGACCGAGAAATGACAACCTTTAAGTGATGATTTCACTTGCAGATAACCACTTACATTCGCATCACAATCACGATCAGAAGAACATCGTTCAGACCGGCCCGTGTCAATTTATACAAACGCGCGTTTCTGCGGCCTGGGCACCTCAGCTTGGCGAAGAATTTGGTATAAAAACGCAGAATATAATTGCAAACTGTTGCATGTACCCATCCACGTCGAAAAGTCCTGCCTTCAATGTTCTCCTCAAGCCGAAAAAACTAGGGGACAAAAATTTAATGTCCCCGGAAGTGAGTCGCGAGCAACGACGGGTGAAGTAGTGCGACTTTGACGGACTTCCCTCGACATACAACATGACGTATCAGGTGTCCTGAAATCCACGGCCTTGAGATAACTTAATGTATATAGGAGTCGCCAGATATGTCAGGCGAAGTTTCGCAAAGTTGCACAGCTTCACTTGACGTCGCTACCGACTTGTTGCACGATTTGCCAGATGGTCAAGCAAAATTCATTCGAAATTGGTTGTCGCCAATACGTATCGAGGCACTTTTGTCCCCTAGTGTAGCCCTGGCTATAGTCCCCTCTTCAGACATGTAAGACAATCTACTTCGCTCTACTTCAAACACTTATTTTCTCTATCAAGTATTCGTAAATAGATTCCAATGTCCACTTTATTTTCTTGTATGAAATTCCTAACTGCAACCCTCCCAATAATATTCCCAGTAAACTGCTGCTGTTGAAATGCTTCGTACCTACTTAACGTCCTTTTTTAAATAGGTATTTGTAGACGTTATAGGATTAATGTCGGCAAGTATTCTGTATTAAGAATATTCCTTTCGACGATATATCACGATGCGAAAGCGATGCATTACAGTTAATTAGCAGGTTGCCATATTTCTTCGCATGCCCTCTTTGTAATACTTGTTAAAATAATTAGCGCTAGTGCAAACTCACAACTTTCGTGAGTTATCTCAATTTCTATCTTGTTAGACTTGCCTTTTGAAATTTCAGTTTAAGTTTACCTTTCATTGAACTAAAGACTAACAAGTAACGAAACAAGTTTTCCAAAGTAAAATATTTTGACTCACATCGTAATTGGTTTATATGTAGTTTATGTTTAAAACACCTATTTGTTTTGTGTAAATTCGACCTACAACAATGATTACATTATATGAATAGATTTTACGAAGTCTAATTATAAAACTTCTGATATAATTAAGATTACAGTGAAATCCTATGGTAAAATCGCAAATAACATTTTCACAAATAATGAAATTACGATAGAAACAAACGAATATTGACTGAAGTAAAGGGGCGGTGCCGTGAAAAATGTGAAATAAATTAGAGAACTCGGATTGCTTTTCGGTGTCCTTTTAAATGACTTACGTAGCTGACAATAAATAAAGCAAAGAGAGCGCTTTATCGCTGCCAATCCGGTTTGTCTCGATTTGTCCGCGATTTCTGTCCGCAAATTGTACCATTTTAAATGTTGATGGATGGAAATTGAAAAAGCTTTCTCAAATTGTCTACGGTTGGATTTATTGCTATTTTGTTTCGTTTGACTATATTAATACCCGATTGCGAAATATGGTCAATCTAAGTAACTAATGATAGTCTAATACCTTCCTTAATCTCATTTTATTAAGTGTTTAAATACAAGTTTAGGATCACCTAAATAATTAACATCTTTACCCAATGTCACAATACTCACAATTCACAGCAATTTAATAAATTACCTATTTTAGTTTTTCCGCACACCAACGTCTACTTTAGTGTTAAAATAGAGCCAATAAAAGTCGATAATAATTTGTTAAATTATGACGTCTCTGGCGTCCCTCCACCGCGAAACCATAACAGCGAAATCCGTTTAAAACCCGCGTGGCGAGTGCACCACATTTACAACGCGTCGGACTCGCGTGGAAAAGCGTTGATCATTTTGTTGGTGTGCGGCGTATGCGGTCACCTTATGCCAGCGACTGGTTTATATAAAGGTGAAATGTATCGCGTTTGTCACAACAGTAGCATTTTTGCAATTCATAACAGCACTCCCGACGGTTTTTTCGCGAATAAGGTAAACGGCTACTAGTTCGTGATAGTACGTAAGTTCGTAAGTTTTTTTTCTAGCTCAAATAATAAGCAAATGGAATATTATTTATAAAAATTCTTTATTACTACAAAAACTATATTATTTAAGCTATCTAAAAAACCAAGTACTAACATTGTGGCGCCAAAAATGAGAGCAATACGAAGCTTCAAACTCATAGAGAGCCAAAAACAGCCGTGCGGCGTGAAAATGTTGCTCTCACCGTAAGGTTAGCGCTCCAACTTCTTAAGCTTATAAAAAGGCTAAGAAACGTCCATTTGCATAAAACTTGTAATAGTGGTTTCATGTGTTCCTTGACAATTGATTTGGCTTAGAAAAAAGTTATATGAAAACGTAGAATTCCTTTAAAATTGCGATTAATTGACTCACGAAATAGCGTACATATTATTTTTCGGGTGTCCCCTGTTTCGGGATACTACCGAATCAAGGATATTATGGATAATATTTTGATGCTTGGTTATTAAATAATTATTTATGATAATTGAAATGTAATTTATGAAACAAATAATACATTTATTTAAGTTTCTCATGATCTAAATTCGGTATATGTTTCGTTCACTAGAATTTATATGACACGAGTTTGAAGTTTACATAAATGACCAATTTTAAGATAAATTAGCATAAGTACTACCAGCGTAATTTTGGTTTTAATTCGATTCGTTTTATTTATCTTGGTTTATTTGTATTTTATATGGGATAGATAATAGTTAATTGACACAATTTGACAATAATCCATGAATTTTACTTGGGGAATTTGGAATAATCAGTATCACGAAACAAGGAACCGTAATTATTAATACTTTTTCCCAAGTTCGTGATATATAAATGTTTAGTGTTAGGTACTTGTATGACACATAACATCAAAGAAATCGACATATTTTTTAGTTAAAAATACTTACCTACCTAAGTAATAAATAAATTAGTTTTTATTATGAGTTATTGGCGTATATGGGGTTATCAGGGGGGGGGGGGTACTACCCTCACTTGAAGCAGCTCCAGAAGTGGGGGGTTAGTCCACCCCCCACATTTTTTAAATTTAGACTTGTATGAATATTTTCACATATCGTTAGAAATAAAAAATCAAAATTTTATGGGTACGAAGGGGAGGTGGGGGGGGGGGGGTAAGGCCCCCCTACATTTCTGATGGTTATATTAATATTTTTACATATTGTTAGAATAATAAATCAAAACTTTATACGAAGGTACGTACCTACCTAGCTAGACAGACTCACATTATTCCTCATGAAGTAAGTAATATCGTCAATTTCACAGAATTATTTTATTCTAAATTTATACTATCGTTTTTAAATTTATTAAACCCTTAATCATTATTAAAATATACTAACTCGATGCGTAAAACTTTATCCCGAAATAGGGGACATGAGTTCACGAACTTAGAAACAGAGCAAAATTTTATCACGAAACAGGATCCAAACAAGAGGTCCGCAGAACAATTAATATTAAAAAAAGTTTAAACAATATAACTATAATTTATGTATTAACTTACTGTCAAAAGACCAAACTTTAGCATACAAAAGCTTTCATACTGATATCATCCTTGGTTATTTTTAAATAAATTGTTAAAGATGTAAGAGCCTTAATATACCGAAGTAGGGGGCACTTACCTTATATTCAAGTGTACGCGCCGCGCCTTTCTGAGAAAAAATGGAGCATGCTTGAGAGAAGTATTGGGGGGTGCGTTCGCGGTTGTGTGTACCTTCTGTATGTGACGCCAACACAAATATGACCATTTTATAATCAAGACATTAAGTTCAAAATTTCGTCTGCCTGCCTGCCTACCTGCTGCCTATAGCAAGCATCTTGAATGTTTTACATAGTTAGTACTAATCAGTGGCTGCTCTAATTGAATATTTGGGGCATTCCAGACAGCCGCATGCACTCGTACTACCAGCAGGCCAGCCGCGGCGCCACAAGCACGCCGCAGCCCGCGGCCGCACAGCCGCAAAGGGCGCAATATACCCACGCTCTACAGATACAGGTTCGTATAAATCTACAAGCCTAAACTACATTATATCTTAGTCAAAATAGGTGTACTCTACTTCAGGGCCTGTATTATGAATTGAAATAATATCTGTTTGGTCTTAAAAAGATTTTATAGTTACACAATGATAAACTAAGTATAAGGGCATTGTTTAAATTTACTTTAATAGGGAAATATCATTTTAAACTAACATTCAACTTTTTAACTTTTGTAATAACATTGTAACTTTCGTAACTCTAGTCATGCGCTAGGTGCAGAATGGTTTTTGTTTAAATTAGGTAGTCTTAGTAAAAAGAAACACTAATCTTACAACGCTCATGGTATAATAACAACTTAGCCTTTACTGACACAGTTTTTGTGACACTCTGAACCCATGTAACTGATTGCCTGAAAAAAGAGGCAATATTTTAATGGGCGCCACTAGTTAAATAAACGATTCGTTTTTCACAAGATTGACATTTGTAACAGAATTGATACTGATATTTAATAACTTATTTATTGTTTATATTCCAGAACCTGTGCCCTGCACCAGCTAGATACAGACCAGTGCCGGCACCTCCTCCGGGCGGCGGCAAACAAATGATCTGTTATTCGGAAAAAGTAAGTCAATACTGACAGGGCCGCTACACATTTGAGCGGGACACCACATTTCGGTTCGACAGCATTTGCCGAACAGCAAAGCCATTGATTTGATCTTTAACGACGTTCGATTTTCAAAGAGTTTTTCCGCTTAATGTGTGTAGCGCACCTTACAAACAATAAAAATGTACGCAGAATTACAGTTTAAAAACAGCTGTGTGCTAGCGATTTTTACAAATTAATCCTATTATGGTTGGATATTAATTTAAGCTGCTTGTGCTAGTTGCCGCATAAAATTTTTGCATTGCGAATTTTTAATATGTAGTTACCATCATGATTTTGATAATTTGAAATTGTTGAAAATTGTGAATATAACTTTACTAAAAGCTACAGTTAAATAGAAAAAACTTCGAAATTTTAATAATACATACGAATTATAAACCACTTTAAAGCCTTTTAAATTTCCAATACCATTCAAATGTAAAATTGTATTTAAAATTTTATTAAGATTACGTCTACCGCGTGTCTAACCAAAACACGCTACCACGCTGCGTAAGATACACGTTACGCCATCTAGCGGCGGGAGCCGTAAACGCTTTGCCAACTGTTTTCCAACGCGGCCACGTGGGAAAGGTTCTGACTGTGGTTCTGACAGTCTGCTTTGTCGGTGGCGTTGGCGTCGATAGTTTGTAGCTCTTGGGTCCACAGTATTCTGTATCAATGAGGGTTTTCGCGAATGAAAAATCCGCCAGATGGCAATACGTAGACGCGAGGTCCAAATGCTGCATGATTGGTTATTTTTGACATGACATTAACAGATATGTCAAAATCCACCAATCACGCAGCAGTCAGACCCCACATCCACGTCCCGCCATCTAACGGATCTTTCATTCGCGAAAACGCTCATTTCATATGGTACTGACTGTGCTGTGGGGATAGATAAACAAGCGGCACTTTTTTATCGAATCAAAATCAAATCAAGCTATGTATATGGCGCGAAATTGATCGAGACATAATTATAATGTAAACACGCATTTCAGTTAGTTTCGTCGTGCGTCGCCCATACTTCGGTCGGTGTGCGTGCTCGCGTTTCGTTTCTAGTGTAACTGCGCCAATGGGCGGATCTAAACAACAAATAGTAAACTTGAAAAACAGTCTGTTAACGTAAAGTGTTTTCAGCAACTGCTACAGTTTGGGCGCCAAAACGATGACAATGACAGTTAATTTTGTCCGGGGGAAAATCAAACCCGGGACAAAATTACTCAGAGTATTAAAGCGGAAGAAATTGGATTTTTATCGGACATGTTTGTTTCCAATAATGTAAATATTGCAAAGCGAGGGACAGATGACCTGAAAAGTAAATAAACATACCTTTCTAAAATTCAGTTGTTCTTCATTATAAATAAATGCAAAGTAAAAGACATTACTCTGTTCCTGATTAGAATAATATAGTAACAAGTATAGCAAATCGCCGGAGATCATGGATATTTTTCCCGAAGTACCTAGCTAAGCGAACTTTCAAGCGCGCGTTAGTCGTTAAGTACAAGCCTGGTTATTTCCAGGTGGCCGCTCCGTTATACCAGCCGGCGCCAGGGTCGCCGTCAAAGGCGGCGCGCGGGGCCCCTGAGGGCGCGGCCAGCGGGCCCGTGGCCCCCGCTGCCACGTCGCCCATGGCCGCGCCGCCCAACCCCGTGTATTATGCCATGAACGTCTGACGCGGGGACTAGGTATGTTCTAGTTGTATAGCTTGCAAATGTTAATTGCTTTAAATATTTAAATTGTGAGTCTGATAACGTTAATAAACACCTCAGAAAGCTCCTATCACCTCCACAAGCAACCGTATTACTAAGCGAATATGAGAACTGTAAATTGTCCTCTAGTTTCGGCTCGACTTTGGCGTCAGACATACGTCGTTCGTCCATCAGATCAAATACTGCTACTAAATATAAGTAATATGGGAAAATCATGGAGTGCAACACCGTACCCGCATAAAACAAATGCCGCAGCGATGAAACGGCTTCCGGAAGGTCTAAAGAACGATTTTCTGAACTTATAAGTTACCTAAACACAATGCCACAACAATGCTGTATATAAATTAGTTTCTAAAACGGTCTATTTCCCTCGAAAACTTTTAAAATTGTAGGTACAAATTAAAATGTAGTTATTTGTTTCATTTTCAGGTGAAAATCGTGGTGGGCCCCACAGGTGAGGTCCGTATCAGCGTACAGCCAAACGCCACACCGAGCGCCGATTCTTCCAAAAAAGAACCCTAATTCCGTGCCCGTTTCTCGCTCCAGAATCAAACTTCCCTAACCAGATACAAGCTTCTCTCTTCCACTTTACCTACTCACACTGATGATTGATGATGATTTAGTTAAGTATTAACTTAAGTATAATTAACAGGGCGCAATAAGATGGCCATTTCGGTTCAATATAAATTACACTTCAACACAGCTATTATAAATTGAATAAGCTTAAATAGTAATAATTTCAAATGTTGACTTCCAAAGATTTTCCATTGTAGTTGAATTGCATGCATTGTTTCTCACTTAATGTTATGGTTATAATATTCTTAATTCATGTTACGGTAATATAAAAAAATAGATTAATAAGTGTTATCAAAACCCAATGCAGATTTATGTGTGTTAATTAACACCAAAGTGCTCATACCAAATACGGATAAAATTCTAGTCAAACAAGCCAAGAGTCTATTTCCCTATCACGAAGTAGATAAAGAATAAAATGTGCAGTCTGTAAGCATACAAACTAAGGTTTCAATCACACAAATTGAACTTAAAGACAAGTTAATTAATAAATGTTGAAATGGCAATTTCTTTCTATGTGTTAGAAAATAATATTTCCACTCACGCGCATGTACCTATTTATTTGTAATAGGTATGTATTTGACTAATTGTATTTGTATTTCATAAAAATAGAAACAGGATAACAAGTTGGATCTTTTAGCTTTTCTATTCTATGCCAATTTCTACAATGGGGATGTTGCCTGGGTCAAAAAGCAAGAGTTTTAATTAGTCCGTCAGTTAACTTATCAAAAAATACTCTACACGTATTTTTCACTTTTTCAAACTAATGAAAATTTAAAGAGATAAAGCGCCCCAAAGTTCATAAGAAGAGGCCCGTGACGTCAACGCTTGCTTAAAAATGCCGCACGTTGTGGTGACGTCGTGCGCAACTTCAACGCACCATAACTATGTAATTATTTGTTAGATTGACAAATAAAAATATATGTGTCCAATATTTTTTGATATTAAACATTACGGACTAAAAAAATTTTTTTAGGCAACTAGCCTATTAATGAAAAGGTATCCGATGTACCTAATGAGATGACTTAACATGAGTATTATTATGTACCGATTAAAGTTAACAAAGAGTAAATTATCTGAGATGCTTCCATTTTTTCCTAATCATTGAATTGAAAATAATTTTCTAATTTACTGATCAAAGGCTCGATGGCCAGACTTCCTAAGTGCGAGTCAGAATTTTCAAAAACGCTATACCTCGGTGTGAACTCATCCTTCCGGCTGTATATAAGCTAGTGCCAAAATGTAACTGCAGTATTATAAAATTATATAATTTTTTATTTACAAGTAGGCTAGCAAGTTGATGTTGTTGATTTTTATCTTTCAAAGTTATCGAATGTTATTTTTAACAAATGGCCTAAAGGTAGCATAACTTCAAAGTTATTTTTCAGGGGATTCTTGTAAATAATGCCAAAGTCATGACATTTTATAGTAATGTAAATGTAAAGTTAGCTTATTTTTTGTTGTTTTTTCTTTTTTTTTAATATAAGTGGCAAAGTAGGTAAATCCACTTTTTTTGGGATGGTACGGACTACGGACGCTCCGTGAATCTTTTTAAAACTTAGTGAATGTATTATAATTAAGAATATTCGGGATTCTAGTGGGACGCCTCGATTTTCACGAATATAAATATTTTATTAGTTGTGTACTCGTATTATGTTACGACAATAATTTTCTTTTTTACCTTAGAACGCTTCAGCTTACGATTATTAGGTAATAGTTATTTAAAAAAATTTACAGCGGCTAGTGTGTGGGTTATATTTACGTTATATTGTATTCGACGTAAGTAGTTTTAGAAGTGCCTGCATACCTATGGCATGATTTCATAATGTAAAAGTTAAATTGACAAAAATGAAACTAAATCGCACAACTTCTAGACCAAAAGGAGACCAAACTACAAACACATTCCGTTGAAAAAAGTATTTTTGACACAAAATTCTAAATCTAAAGGTATCATGTTATAAATGCGGTTATTTTCTGTACATAACCGTGTTTGTAGATTTATAGCATGGTACGGTGGTATCGATATAGCTTGATATTCGTGCCTCTAGTACCCGGCACATCCTTGATGATTTTTATGATCTTCCTTAAATTTTGTTTCAATTAACTACGAACTTCGAATCAGAGTTAGTACGTTAGCTATTTTATATTTTGAATCACCAATAACTTTATCAGGAAATGTTACCAATTCCAGTTTATTTCAGTACAATTATTTAAAAATTATATATAAAATGTAATATAAGTTTAAGAAGACCAATAATCACGGGCTTGGTTACAATATAAGAGGAATTTCGGAGAGAGGATAGAGGATATTGATGGGACGGTTATTCACATCACAATATGATGAGGAGCATCACAATCAGCCTGATGAGAGTTTGAGTAAGAACGCTTAGTTAGTATCTATTATTAAATATTATCCTGCTCAAGTGGGAGTTTTTAGTATTTATTATGTTAAAAAAATATAATAACATAAACGTTTTAAAGACAAACGTTTTAAAAATGGGAAACGTTATAGATTGAAACCTTGAAATCAACTTTCGGGAATAGGTAATGATGATTAAGTAGGGAGGTATTTATTTAGTGCTTCGAATCTGTAACAAGACTTAGACAATTTTATAGAACCTAATTCCGATATTTCCATCCAATGAAGTAAACCAGTACCTCTAGTAGGAAAAACTTTCGAGTTCGTTTCGTTGCGTATTCAAAGTGTCATCGAAAAATTTTGTATGAAAAATTAAACAGCGCCCCCTATATTATAGCCGCCCTAGGGGGCGCTGTTTAATTTTTCGTACAAAATTTTTCGATGACAGTTTGAATACGCAACGAAACGAACTCGAAAGTTTTTCCTACTAGAGGTACAGACACAATAATTTGCTTTTTTAACGTGGCTAACGAAAAAATATTAAGTAGTATTAATATTTATAAAAAAAATACTTAAAAATTTGTATGAGTTTAAACGTAGGGTAGGTATTTCCGTGTATAAATTTCTTCTCATGGCTATAAAAAAGAATGAAGGAAAATTCGTTTTGTTTAGAAAATACCTACTTAAGTTATTGTAGAGTAGGTACCAGAGGCAAAAATATCAAGCTAAATTCAATTGATTAGGTAGATTTTAAATAAGTGACGTCTGACTATCTCTTCATAGTTGTTTGTAACTTTCTAGTGGTTCTCCACAAAACCTACTATGAAAAGGTTCTCAGTTTTTGGAATGAAGGTTTTTGTATTTAATGCTATTAAGATTTTTCTTGTAGAAAATATTCATGTTATCTTAGACGAAATTGAACTATTTTGTAAATTAATATGGTGTAAATAAATATTATCTATGTATCGGCAAAGAAAGCGTAGCTCTGTAGTTAAGTGTAATTTAATACCTGCCTATATGTTTGAAAATATATGGGCTTTTTTGGTTTTATGTAGTTCTAAAGTACATCAATTCAGTCCAAATCAGAAAGAAAGAAAGCTTTGCTTTTCTACCTTATATTGATTGCATCATGTAAGCTCCAGGAGAATCATTATAATGATCGTAACCGAAACCAAAGCACCTTTAAAGTGGTCAGTTACCATTCATATTCTAGTAAAAACATTGTCCATTATGATATCTAATATATTTTTTTATATTATTGTTAACTTTATTGTAATGTTTATTTTTTAATGTTATCATAGTTTTAATTTTATGGTTATATTTATATTATTTGTATAATATTTTTAAATTTATAATAATTTCTGTGATTGTGTCTGCTTTAAATAATTCATATTTATAAAGTCAAACATTTCAAGAGTTTAAATGTATGAATAAATTTTAAATAATCTCTACTAATGCGTTCAATCACACGAACTTGCTTTATAAAATGTGTCCCAATTATTGGAGAAATTTTTTCATATTTTTACGAGTCTTGAATACTCTATCTCTATTCTTTATATCTCTATACTGTCTGAGATATGATTACTTCGATTGAGAGTATTGTTTATAAAACCATTCCATTTGTATCTAACTAAAATATGGAAATCAGTAGTTGAAACGTACAAATACAAAAATTTAATTAAATTTTAATGTGACCAACAATTGGGTAGAACCTATATACTTAGCCGTCTGTTACAATAGCATCAACTTGTGTAAAAATCAATTCATATTAAAACTAAAATTCTTCCAGTTTTATAGTTGTAAAATTCACAATAAAACGAATCCTGAATAGTTAATACCTATGAAAATGCAATGTGAATCAGGACTTAATATAAAAGTAGATTTTTCTAAAAAAAACTTTGCAAGTAAATACACATAAGTCTAGTCTAGAGACAGTAAGTACTTAATTAATAACTGACGGCTAATTAACCAAATCTCAAAAAGCTCTATTACAGGGGTAGACAAATGTATATTTCATGCCTTGACCATGCCGACTCTGACACAAAAATTCGTGTCCCCTTGCATCTTTTGACGTCCACTGATCAATGCAATGAAAAGGGTATTGAATTAATAATTTACGATCTAGGGTACCTCAATATAGAGCATAGCTGGGCACCGTTAATCAAATAGTTAACTTCGTTAATCGTTAAGCCGTTACTAAAAAATTAACTTCGTTAAACGTTAAAACGTTACATTTCGGAAGATTTAACGCAAGTTAACGTTAATCGTTAATCCGTAAACACGTAATAATAAAACGAAAAAAAATTGTATGTAAGGTTCAAATAATTTCGAAAGCTTTTATCGCGCATGGAATTTATTCATCTATGTTTGCGCTACAAGCTTTCGAAATTATTTGAACCTTGCATAAGTACTTTTTTTTTCGTTTTAGTAGGTACAACTGCATTTCAGAATAAAAGCTTGTTTTAAAAAAAAGTTTTTTTTTAAATAATTTTATAATACACTTTTTAGTTGTATCTCAATCTCAGAGCCTTGGTACAATTACAATACAATTTAACAAACCCAAACTCGATAAGTTTCCACCGTTTCATTTAGGAATTTCCTATGGCTGACTCCATCATCAGGACCCTGGACATCATCTAGTACTACAGTGCTTAAAAAGACAAATCCAACGAACCCAAATTCGTTGCGATTCCGCCGTTTCATTTAGAAGTTTCTATGACCACCTCCTGACTCCATCATCAGACCAGCTCAATGGTACCATAACATTGCATTGTAATCGTACATAGGTAAGTATACAAAATATCAGCTCAATCGGTTGAGGAGAACTGGTCTTAAATTAAGTTGTAAATAAATAAAAAAAAAGCATTTTTTTATATCGTTGCGTTGGTGATGTGGTTACAAAAACTGTTGTTTTGGGTTCTTGAAGTTCTGGAAGCCTGAAGGTACTTGTCAGAACGCGTTTTTCAGCATGCCTGCTGTATCTTTTTGGTAAATAGTAGGTACTGGATTAACGATTAACGGACTTAGGATAATTTAACGGAAGTTAACGAGTCCGTTAACATCTTTTAAAGTTAACTTAAAAGTTAATCCGTTAATAGAAATGTTAACTTCGTTAATTAACGATTAACGGATTAACGAGTTAATGCC